CCACCTCAGTGCAGCCCCACCACGAGCAGAGACCTCCCTGGGCGAGGGCAGGGATGGAGCTCTGCTCCCCCTTGCCAGGTCCTGCCCATTCAGGAGTCACAGCAGTGCCAGCACCCAGGAAAGCAGGAAGCTGGTGAAATTCCCCCTGAGGAGAGGTGGGAGTAACAGCAGGCAACAAGCTTAGGGTCAAGATGGGTAGTGAGGAGCTTCTTGCCTTCTGGGCTTCCTCGTGCTTCTCAAAGTTGACAAATCCAAAGCCCTTTGAGCGGCCAGTGCTGTCCGTCATGACCTTGACACTCAATGTCTTTCCTGCATTAGGGAAGGAAAGTACAGTCTGAAGGGTGTCCACCAAGGGGGTGCTGCTGGCACATGGCACTGTGCTCAGGAGCCACCGTGAGCCACCAGCCCAGGAAGGAGACTGGATGGCTACTACAGCAGCATGGAAGAGCCCAGAGGGAGGAGAGACAGCAGGGTCCCTGTGAGGCAGGGACATGCAGCTCTGTGTTGGTGAGGGCAATCCCTCCCACCATGGCTGCTGCTCTCATTGCCCTTGTCTGGTTTTTTCGGTCTCTACCAGCCAGGGCACTGAGCTCCTTTGGCCAAAAGTTCTCATCTCCTTTGTACATGAACACATGTGTTTGTGTGAAGGTTACCCAGGAATTACCTGAGATGACACCAACCAGGCATGGACAGTATGGCCCATGACTTGGCATAACACTAAACCCCATCACAAGAGGCATCTTCCAGTAAAGGACTAAACTGAAAAGCCTGATTTTGCTTTACATTCAGACTCAACAACCTTTATTCCCAGGGTTCTCTAACCAGACAACATGCTGATTTCAGGAAAACTAAAGAAACTAATAAAACAAACCAAACCTGACCTTTGTTACCCAAGAAAGAAAAAAACTACTATCATGGCTTAACCCCAGCCAGCAGACAAGAATCGTGCAGCTACTCACACTCCCTCCTCCTCCCTTCCCCTGCCCTGATGGAATGGGGAGCAGAAACAAAAGGAAAATATATAGGTTGAGATAAGAACAGTTTAGTAACTGAGAACAAAATGAGATAAAATACTAACGAAAAATAAAAAGGGGGAAAAAACCCCAAACCAACAAAATAGAACCAGCGATGCACAATACGACTGTTCACCACCAATGCCAGACTGTGTTCCCATACCCAGATCAGTCTGCCCTCTGGGCAACTCCCCCCATGAATTTATATTCTGGGCATGATGTTCTGTGGTGTGGAACTGAGAACAAAATGAGATAAAATACTAACGAAAAATAAAAAGGGGGAAAAAACCCCAAACCAACAAAATAGAACCAGCGATGCACAATACGACTGTTCACCACCAATGCCAGACTGTGTTCCCATACCCAGATCAGTCTGCCCTCTGGGCAACTCCCCCCATGAATTTATATTCTGGGCATGATGTTCTGTGGTGTGGAATATCCCTTTGGCTTGGCTAGGTCAGCTGTCCTGACCATGCTCTCTCATGGCTTCTTGTGCACTTGCTCATAGGCAGAATATGGGAAAAAGAAAAATCATTGTCTTAAGAATTACTTAACGCTTTTTTCAGGACAGCAGCTGGTACAAGTTACCCTCCACCACAGGCAGAAAGCACATGTAACATCATGACAATAAAAGTGTCTGTGGTCCTTTGGTGTGGGGGTGTTTCAGCAAGTCAGATCCCACCGAGAGAAGAGGCTCAGTACTTCAATCAAGTGCACTCCCCAGTTTCCTTCGCAGTTGCCTCAACTCCAGTTTATCAGACACAAGGATACTTCAACAACTGTACTCACCAAACTTGGAGAATATTTCCCGCAGTCTGTCATCATCCATGTCATCCCCAAAGTTTTTGATGTAGACGTTGGTGAACTCCATTGCCTTCACCCCCATCTCTGCCTCGCGCTCTTTGCGCGATTTGAACTGGCCAACAAATCTGCAGGAAGGAAGGAATGGACCTGAAACCCTCCAAGTCCTCTGCAGAGGGAAGGACACAGGCACATCTGCCTCAGGACAGGCCAAGAGAGACCCCATCACCTCAGGCCATGCTTGGCTCACCCACAAACCCACCATGTGTTGCACACCCAGCAACTTCAGCCCATCCCACTCTGGTGTTCCCTTAACCAGACCTCACCTGACACTACCAAAACAGGGACAGTAGTAACATAGGGCACAGGCCCACGCTGTGGATGTCACCCTAGGAGACCCCAAAATATGCCACACCAAGTGCCACCAAGTTATTCCCAAAAACTCTGGGCAGCTGCTATCTCTGTGGGATGCAAAGAATGCAGTGATGCAATGCAACCAGAGAACTGAACAACACCAAGACCTCTTTCCTGTCCAGATTATCTGATGCCACAGCCCAGATAAAGGGCCAGTCCTGTTTTGTGGGCTCTTGTTACACCACCTCAGCTATAAAACCTAGCCTGGGTTGGACTCTTCCCCACTGTTGGGAACAGCTCCAAACCACTTCCACTGGCATCAGCCATGGGTGACTCAGTGCCCTGGAGAGCAGCAGAGCCACTGTGCCCAGAAGGGATGGGAAAAGGGGAAAGAGCAGCAGGCGGTGGCAGCCTGAGCAGGGCAGGTGTTTGCTCCTAGGAGTGCACCAAGCCAAGGGAGGAACAGAGCTAAGTGCAGAGCCCAAGAAAGACTCTTGTCTCTGGCACTTACACCTTCCGGTCATTGAGCAACATCCCATTCATGGTCTCAATGGCCCGAGTCGCTGCCTCGTGAGTCTCAAAGTGCACAAAGCCATAGCCACGGGATCCATTTTCATCACAAACCACCTACAAACAGAGCAAGGGGTAAGAAAAAAAAACAACCCAAAACCAAAGAAGACAGTTTTTCTCCATGTTTGTACATGAGTAAGTTGCAGGAAAACCAATGCTCATTTTTCACGGGCATTTTCCCTCCCTGCTCTCACTGCAGCTGAGCTGTGTAGGCATTTTCCCTCCCTGACATCCCACCCTGCTCTCACTGCAGCTGAGCTGTGTTGGGTGATTTCCAGGGCCAGATCCACAGTGTTTTATATGACACCCAGGAGCTTATAGCTCCCCAAGACCCACATGCCATCAATGCACCAAGCTCAGACAGGACAACACACAACATCTCTGTGGAGGGACTGGGAAGAAGGGGCAGGGGAAAAGTTCCCATTCTGAGGGGAAGCATAGCAAGGCCTTTTGGCTTCAAAGCAGATGGGAATTTAGAGGAGATGTGGGAAGTGAAATAAGAAAGTGAGTTTCAGGTGGCTGGAGCTGAGAACAGGGGCAGCTCTGCAGCAAGCCCTCTCCTGCAGGGCCCCTGGGCACACATACCTTGCATGACAGGATGTTTCCAAAGGCAGAGAATGTGTCATACAGGGCTTTGTTATCAATGGAGTCATCCAGGTTCTTGATGAAGATGTTTCCAATCCCTGACTTCCTGAGCCCAGGGTCCCGCTGGGACCACATGATGCGGATGGGTCGGCCTTTGATCACTTCGAAGTTCATGGTGTCCAAGGCACGCTCAGCTGGCAAAGAAGGAGAGGGAAAGGAGGGTAACAGAGACAGATCCCCTTCACATCCTGCAGCAGCTGTGATGGGCACAGGAATCAGGGCTACTGTTGGACAGGGGCTCATTAACCTAAATGAGATGGGCAGCAGCTGCTCTCCTCTCCTCCTCTCCCACCACACCACTCCTTCCTGATTAATTGGGGTTTTTTCCCTTCTCTAAAGCATGTTAGACTCCCACAGGATCATCCATTTCACGGCAATCTCCAGTTTGGCAGATGCTCAACTCATGTACCCAGTAAGGATTTTGGTCTCCAGGGCAACTAACCCAGCACCTTCCCATCACCACTGCCTCCCCTCAGCATGGAACACCTTTCAGTTACAGCACAGTCTCATGTCAATGCCTGCCAGGAGAGGGGTCTTGCTTCATACTGTGAGCCAGCAGGCAGCTGCCTGCCCCTGGAATGGGCATGTCCATCAGCTCATGGAGGGAGGTAACTCCTGAAAGTCATCTTCCTCTCCTGTAAGTCCAAAGCCCAGCTGCCACATCCTTTCCCAGACCCTAAAAGGTGGGATGAGTTGCACTCATCCCATTAGTTGCAATCAAAACTCGAAAGAGTGGAATATTGCCCAAGCCCCAACAGCTGATGCCTCCATTAGGCAACTGGTCTTCTCTCTTCCATTGCCCACCCTTCCACCTCCTGCACATCCCCCTGCCGTGAGGCCGTCAGTCCCTTGGAGCTGTGTTACAGGGAGCATACCATCCACAGGCTGCTGGAAGTTTATGTAGGCATAGCCCAGTGATCTGCGTGTGGCAGCATCACGACAGACCCGGATGGACATGATGGGCCCAGCAGGTGAGAACTTCTCGTAGAGCATGGCTTCGGTCACATCTGGGTGCAGGTCTCCCACATAGAGAGAGGCTAAGGGATATCCAGGGCCACTGGCATTCATGGTCACCCACGGAGCTCAGCTGCAGAGGGAGACAGAGCAGAGGCTGCAGGGCACAGGTTTCAGGTCACTTACAGTGACCACAGACCCACACTGGGGCTGGCCCCACTGCAGCAGTGCAGGTGCAAGCCATGCCCTTCCCACCAGCAGCAGTAGAAAGGCCCCAAGGATGCTGCAATCCCCCAATTTTTCAGGCTATTTCAATCTTGGTGCAAAACACACCTGGTGAGCAGACAGAGGGACACACTACACTCACACCTCCTGATCGCTCCTTTCAACACTCAAACTCCAAGAGGAATAAAATGGAGTTTTAGTCCTTGGAAGGTAAATAGCCCTTCTCCACCAGAGACTTTCGTTTTAATTCCTTAAGAGCTCCCTCCAGCCAGAGCAGACCCAAGGAGTGTGGGTTTGCTTTGGTGTCTGGGGAGGGAACTTGCAGACCACACTGCTCCCTGCAACCAACTCCATCCCCACCAAGGAAAGCACAGGTTTCTAGCCAGCTCTTTCTAATTTCTCAGCTTGACTAATGTCCCTAGAGCAGGAAAACTGATGCTCAGGCTCTGCCTGGTTTCAATTGGGTATGAAGCTGTGCGTAGAGATTGCTGAAGGCTCCCGAAGTGCTGCCTGGCAACACAAAAATGCAGCTCCTGCCCTAAAAGTTTCTAAGCCATCCTTGTGGCTCTTACCTTACAGCTCAAAAGACCCAAGACACTTGTTTAGATACCCAAAATATACGCGCACACATAGGACAGATACATTGAACAATCCCCCGGCAAAAGCAGGTCGGAGCCGCGAGCAGCCCGCGGCAGAGCCGCGCACCGGCACAGCCCCAAACAAGCACAGGGTAACAGAGCAGACCCAGCGCCCACCCCCAGCAGGAGGGCAGCTCAAACTGCCGGCGGGGCAGGGAGGGAGGGAGGACAGCTCAAATGGGGCAGGGAGGGAGAGCAGCTCAAACGGCCGGCGGGGCAGGGAGGGAGGACAGCTCAGACGGGGCAGGGAGGGAGGGC